AACTACCAAGGAGCCAAGAGCTCCTCTGATGTGCTCTGTGTCACAGCTCTAGATGAAACAGTTCTTCTGAGCTGAAACTATTGCAGTTCTTTTTGTGTGTGCCAGTCTTGGGGCTTCGATTCAGGACCTGCACACTGTTTCTAAGCTTCTTATGCTCAAGGCTAGTTCTGCTCTACCACTTGGGACACAGCTCCATTTCTGGCATTTTTAGCAGGGTATTTATTTATTTATTTTGGTCAGTGATGGGGCTTGAACACAGGGCCTGGGTGCTGTCCCTGAGCTGCTTTGCTCAAGCCTAGCGCTCTACCACTTTAAGCCACGGTGCCACTTCCAGTTTTCTGGTAGCTAATTGTAAATAAATATCTCATGGATTTTCCTGCCCCAGCTGACTTTGAACCTCAATCCTCAGATCTTAGCCTCTTGAATAACTAGAATTATTATAGGCATAAGCCATCAGTGCCTGGCTTGAATTCAGGTTTTTTTTTTTGTTGTTGTTGTTTGTTTGTTTTGCCAGACCTGGCGCTTGAACTCAGGGCCTGGGCACTGTCCCTGAGTTTTACTTACTCAATCAAGGCTAGCACTCTACCACTTGAAACACAGTACCACTCCTGGCTTTTACTGCTTATGTGGTACTGAGGAATCAAACCCAGAGTTTCATGCATGCTAGCAAACACTCTACCATTAAGCCACATTCCCAGCCCCTAGGCATTTATTTATTTATTATAAAAATTGAAGGACAAGCTGGTGGCTCATGCTTGTAATCCTAGCTATTCAGGATGGTAAGATCTGAGGATCAAGGTGTGAAGCCAGGCTGGGCAGGAAAATCTGTGAGACTCTTATTTCCAAATAGCTACCAGAAAACCAGAAGTAGCACTGTGGCTCAAAGTGGTAGAGCACTAGCCTTGAGCAAAAACAAACAAACAAACAACTGGGCTGGGAAGGTAGCTTAGTGGTAGAGTGCTTGCTTTGTATGCATGAGGCCCTGGGTTCGATTCCTCAGCACCACATAAGCAGAAAAAGCTGGAAGTGGTGCTGTGCTCAAGTGGAAGAGCACTAGCCTTGAGCTAAAGAGCTGAGGGACAGCGCCCAGGCCCAGAGTTCAGGCCCCAGAGCTGACAAAAAAAAAAAACTCTAAATATTCAAAGACAGTGCCCAGACCCTGAATTCCAGCCCCCCAGGACAGGCAGAGAGGGAGGAAGGAAGGAAGGAAGGGAGGGAGGGAGGGAGGAGAGGGGAAGGGAAGGGAGGGGAGGGAAAGAAAGAAAGAAAGAAAGAGAAAGGAAGGAAGGAAGGCTGAATTCAAACCCAGGCAGGCCTTCTGGACTCCAAGGAAGAAAGTCACCTTTTCTCTCCTGGCTTCAAGGCTTCACATCTCTTGACATGTACTCAGAGAAGGAAGGACCAACCAAACCTGGCATCAGGCCCCGCCACCCCCTCTCCAGGGCTGGAGGACATGACCTTTTAAGTGCATCCTCTCTGGCTGAGTTGGCAGACAAGCAGGCCAGCCAGGGACATGAGCGTCCTACTGTGTAATCATAAATCATCCCAGCCCCAGGTCCTGGCTGCTGGCTTCCTCCTGCAACTGGAAAACTCCTGTGCCTGCAGACAGCAGCAAGCATCTTTCCAAGCCAGGGGACACTTCCCTGGCACTGCCCTTCCAGGTTCCATGCTGGCCTGCAGTAGGAGGAGAGAACACCATGAATTCAGCAGGCAGGCATGGTGGCCCAGGCCAATGATCTCAGTACTCAGAAGGTTGAGGCAGGAGGATCTCAAATTCAGGTTCTACATGAGTTACATAGCAAGACCTTGTCTCAAAACAGAAAAAAAGGGGCTTGGTGCCAGTGGCATACACCTATAATTATACACCTATACATCTCTAATCCTAGCTGCTCAGGAGATCTGAGGATCATGGTTTGAAGCCAGCCCAGGCAGTAAAGTCTGTGAGACTCTTATCTCCAATTAACCACCAGAAAACCAGAAGTGGAGCTATGAATTAAGTAGTAGAGTGTCAGCTCTACAGCCAAAAAACTCAGGGATAGCACCCAGATCCTGGATTCAAGCTCCAACATTGGTACTTGTACATTTGCATGCACACACACAGATATTTTGAGAAACAATAGAACATATTCACATAACTTTTACTAGACATATTATTAAATATTGCTCCATTTCATTATTTAAGTGTTTGTTTTTTGTTGGTCGTGGGGCTTGAACTCTGGGCCTCCTGGGCACCATCCCTCCACATTTCAGCTCAAGGTGTGTGTGCTTTACCACTTGAGCCACAGCACCGCTCCCTATTTGTTTTGTGGGTTGTTGTTTTTTGGGTTTTTTTTGGTCAGTCATGGGTCTTGAACTCTGGACCTGGGTGCTGTTCCTCAGCTCTTCAGCTCAAGGCTAGCGCTCTACCACTTGAGCCATATTGCCACTTCTGGTTTTCTGAGTGGTTTATTGGAGATAAGAGTCTAATGGACTTTCCTGCCTGGCCTGGCTTTGAACCGTGATCCTCAGATCTCAGCCTACTGAATAGCTAGGATTACAGGCATAAGCCACTGGCACCTAGCTTTTTTAAGTGTTTTTGAGATATGGTTTTGCCTCCCCCTCATGAGGGCTGGGATTATGGTGTACAGCACTATACTTACCCCTCCTCCTCCTCCTCTTCCTCCTCCTCCTCCTCCTCCTCCTCCTTCTTTTTGCCATCATGGGGCTTGAACTTAAGGCCTGTGCATGGTCCCTGAGCTTTTTCCCTCAAGGCTAGTGCTGTACCAGTTGAACCACAGCTCCACTTCTGATTTTCTGGTAGTTAACTGGAAATAAGAGTCTCACAAACTTTCCTGCTTGGGCTGGCTTCAAACCATGATCCTGAGATCTCAGCCTCCTCAGTAGCCAGAATTACAGATGTGAGCCACTGGCTCCCAGATGTTCTGGGAGGATCTTTTCTAGAATAGAATTGCAGATCATTTAGAAGCCTAAATGCGAGTCTCCAGTGGTGGAGTCTGAGAATCAATGGTTTTTTAAAGCTCCCAGGGAGGGAGGGAGGGAGGGACGATTGCTGAAGGAGCCTAGTAGGCTAGGTAACTAAAAAGGAAGTGGCTATGGAACCTTCTGGAACTGGCTGGAAGGGCTAGGGAAGCTGGCATCTGCTGGCTCTGCAGAGGCAGCCAGCACTAATGCTTCGAGAGTCTAAATCCTACTTGGTCGTATAATGGGAATTGGCTGACGCAGCAGGCAGGGCAGAGCCTGGTCTGACCAAGGAGGGAGGCCTGATCTCCTCAGTGCCAGCTCCCTACTCTAGGGGAGTGTGGGGACAGACAAGGACAAGAAGTGCCCTCTTCCCTCAGGACTTCGTGTATGCTAGGCAATCACTCTACCAATTAAGCCACATTCTCAACCCCAAGAAAATTATTACCATGCCCTTGTCTCCCTCCATGATGCCCAGGCATAATGAGAAGGGATAGATGGTAAGAGAAGGATGGCCAGGGCACAGGAATAAGTGAGCTCTTACCACTACCACTTTTTCTAAGAAATGGATGTCCAAAGCTGGATATTGGTGGCTCATGGCTATAAGCCTAGCTATTCAGGAGGCTGAGACCTGAGAACCGTGGTTCAAAGCTACCCTGGGCAGGAAAGTTAGTGAGACTCTGGACATACACTAATTGTATGCAAAAGACACAATTAACCCCCTAAAAGCCAGAAGTGAAGCTGTGGCTCAAGTGGTAGAGCACTAGCCTTGAACAAAAGAAGTTCAAGCCCTAGGACTGGCACAAAAAGAAAGAAAAGAAAACAAGAAAGAAGACAGGCACTGGTGGCTTATGCCTGCAGTCCTAGCTACTCAAGGGTCTGAGATCTGAGGATTGTGGTTCAAAGCCAGCCTGGTAGAAAAATCTGTGAGACTCTTCTCTCCAATTAACCACTAAAATGCCAGAAGTAACACTGTGGTTCCAGTGGTAGAGTGCTACCCTTGAGCATAAAAGTTCAGAGACAGTGCCCAGGCCCTGGTTTAAACTCCCAAACTGGCATACTCTCTCTCTCTCTCTCTCTCTCTCTCTCTCTCTCTCTCTCTCTCTCACACACACACACACACACACACACACACACACACACACACACACAAGACATGGGAGAAACAGGAGTCCCTGTGTCCAAGGGACCACAAAAGGACATGGCTCATTGTGTTCCATTCTGGCATCAAATAGCCCCCCAAAATCACAGAAGGACAGAAAAGATCTTTCCATGGGTTAGGATGTCACTATTAACCTTGGCAAGTACAATTTTGGTGGGGCTGCTCCAAGGTGGCAGCCTGTTAGGCAAAAAAATAAATAAATAAAAATGAGGAATGATTTGTTTGGGGTGTGGTAGTACATGCCTGTAATCTCAGCTAGGTTGGGAGGCTAGGGCAGGAAGATCCTAGTCTGAAGCTGCTCCCAGAAGAAGTAAGTATGAGGCCCCATCTGTGAAAAAAAAAACTAAACCAAGGGCTGGGAAGGTGGCTCAGTGGTAGAGCACTTGCCTTGCATGCATGAGGCCCTGGGTTCGATACCTCAGCACTACATAAGCAAAAAAGAAAAAAGCCGGAAGTGGTGCTGTGGCTCAAGTGGTAGAGCGCTAGCCTTGAGCTGAAGCGCTGAGGGACAGCGCCCAGGCCCAGAGTTCAGGCCCCACGACCAGACCCAAAAACAAAACAAAAAACAACAACAACAAAAAACTAAACCAAGAGAAGGCTGGTGGGTGATGGCTGGGGTGACAGTAGGGGTGGGGGGACGGGGGAACATATGGCTCCATTCCAGTGATGGGGACCACAGTATGAGGAAGGGTTGGTGAGATAAAAGGGTTGTGTCATGGGTATTGGGGTACATGGAAGGGAGGTTCCTGTGAAACTGTAGCTCTAAGAAATGGCAGCTGAAGTCAGCTGCTGAGTCATGGCAGGAGGAGGGGAAGAGGCCAGAAAATATGCTCACTCCTGCAGGAGCCTCCTGAGGAAGTGGAAGAGAAGGCTGCCGGAGGACCGGACAGTGATCAGCAGGGCAGGGGGAGCCACAAGCTATGCCTCCTGCCACCCCATCCGCCCAGCTCTATGCATGAGCCTAGAGAAGCTCAAGGTCAGCCCATCTCAAGGTCAGTGATGGCATACAGGAAGCCCAACAGAGGGATTGGCTATGTGCTGGACCAGGTTGGGAGGGAGGAGGAGGTGGACAGAGATTGGAGAACTAGGGACACTGAAGAACAGGCAAGGGTGAGGGGTGATGCAGTAGGAGTGCCAGAGGCCCAGGAGAGGGGGAGTGTCTCAGTTCTGGAAGGTTCTGCAAGACCCTCCCTCTCCCCCGCATCCTTAGGGAGTGTGACCTGGCTGACATGGATATGGGATCCAATTCTGAGAAGATTCTCACTCTGAGAAGCTATAGCAAAGGATGCTGTGTCCTGTGGTTTAAAACTGGTGACTCCTCCTGCCCCCTAAGTAAGGCAGGACCCTAAACATTATATTCAGAATGTTGGGGCACCAGTGTTCATGCCTGTAATTCTAGCTACTTAGGAGGCTGAGATCTGAGGATCAAGGTTTGAAACCAGCTTGGGCAGGAAAGTCTGAGAGACTTCTTATCTCCAATGACCCAGCATAAAGCTGCTTTTTTGACATTTCTTTGTCCAGAGGCTCATGCAGGTGACTGAGAAACACCAGAGGTGGGGAGGGGCAGTGGATTCCATTGGATAAGCTGAGGCTACTTTGGGGGACCAAACCTAATCAAAGAGAGAAGCAACAATGAGGGAGAGAGAGAAAGAGAGAGGGGGGGAGAAGAAAAAGAGGGGAGGATGTGACAGAAGGACAGACAGGAAGACAGATTGTTTGAGATGGAGACGGGGGAGAAGGTGCTGAGCATGCTGGCCACAAGCCAAGAGTCATTCCGGAAGCTGCTGGGCTGGCCCCAATCATGACCAGATGAATGGCTGCTTTGGGAAGGCAGAGCCACCAGGCTTCTCTGGGCATAACCTGCCACGGAAAGCCCAACCCAGTGCTTCTGTTTCCCCAAAGCTAGGCTGAAGATGCCCTCAAGGGCTCCTTCAAGGGCAATACAAAGGTGTAGCTAGGCCTGCTTTGAGGTACAGACTCCAGTTTTGTCTCACTAACTGGGTAGTTTAGCACCAACTAAACAAATTTTAAAAAATTGGTGCTAGTACTGAGCCTTGAACTCAGGGCCTCACTATGTTGCTCAGCTTTTTTGTTCAAGGCTGGTGCTCTACCACTTGGGTTACACCTCCACTTTTGGCCTTTTGTTAGTTAATTGGCAGTAAGAGTTCCTTGGATTTGTCTGCTCAGGTTAGCTTTGAATCCAATTCTCAGGCTCCTGAGTAGCTAGAATTATAGGCATGAGTCACTAGCATCCCACTTCTTGAAGCTTTTTTTTTTTTTTTTTTAGCCGATTCTGGGGTTTAAACTCTGGTCCTGAGTGCTGTTACTGAGCCCTTTTTGTTCAAAGTAGCACTCTACCACTTGAGCCACAGCTCTACTTCTGGCTTTTTCTGTGATTTATTGGAGGTAAGAGTCTTACAACTTTCCTGCCTGGGCTAGCTTTAAACTGTGATCCTCAGATCTCAGCCTCCTGAGTAGCTAGGATTACAGGCATGAGCCACTGGCACTTAACAAGATCTTGATTCTTATCTGCAAAATGGGAATGACCACCCCAATCCTCAGGAAGTCAGACCAGGGTTCATCTTTGCCATGGACCTAGGCAAGTTGAGGCTAAGGAGAACCTGGCTCAAGTGGTAGAGCAATTATCTTTCCAGTAAGAACTCTAAATTCTATCCTACTATTGTGAAAACTTGGAGGTAACAAATGACCCCTCCACCAGCCCCTTTGGAGATACTTCAAAAATCTGGACAAGCAGTTGGGACTGAGAATGGGAGATAGTGAGAGTAGGCTGCGATTACAGCTCCCAAGGCTACACAAGTGATAAAAGCCCTACCAATTAAAGAATTAAGGGCTGGATGCCAGGGGCTCATGCCTGTAATCCTAGCTATTCAAGAGGCTGAGATCTAAGAATTGCAGTTCAAAGCCAGCACATGCAGGAAACTCTGTGAGACTCTTATCTCCAATTAATCACCAAAAAGGTGAGAAAGGGATTGTATAGCTCAAGTGGTAGAGTGCTAGCCTTAAGTGAAAAAGTTGAAGGAAGGTGCCCAGGCCCTGGGTTCAAGCCTCAGTATTGTAGTGCGTGCACGCTCGTGTGCGTGTGCGTGCGTGTGTGTGTGTGCGCACACACACACACACACACACACACACAACTTCAGTTTCCTCACTTGCAAAGTAAGGACAATTTTCACTTTCCAAGGTGCCCAGATGAACCAATTTAAACCAATTTTCCAGCAAAGTCCCTGGCAAGCCCCACAGATGTATAAAGCTCAGCCACAGACGTGGGCTGTTACTAATAATACAGAGGCTGGACTCAAGCAGCTGCGGGCCCCCTTCTGCTTAGCCTGAATCAACTCCAATGTGGGCAGCAAGACTGTGGTGGGAAGAGAAACAAATGAGGATCCAGGTCTGCTTCTAGCCCGGCACGGGAGGCTCAAGCCTGTAACCCTACCTACTTGGGAAGCTGAGATCTGAGTATGGTGGTTCCAAGCCAGCCTGGGTAGCAAAGTCCATGAAACTCTTATGGCCAATAATCTCCCAAAGAAGTTGGAAGTGGAGCTGTGGCTCGAGTGGTACAGTGATATCCATCCTTCAGCTTATTTTTGCTGAAGGACAGCACCCAGGCCCAGAGTTTTAGTCTGTGCGCACACCCACAGATACACAGACACACACACAGACACACACACACAGAGGTCTGCCTCCAGTTTAGGGTGGGTGACCTCGGCAGGTTGGTTCTTTTTCTGAGCATCTGTCAGGGATAATAACCTTTGCTTGATTGACAGACAGGGTCAACTCTGAGGACCACACAGGCCCCATAATCGGCCTCTCCCGTTCCTGTTACTGAGGTGTCCATGCAGCTGGTGAAAACTCTCAGTGTAATAAGCACGTCTATGCGGGGCGGGAGTGGGAATAAGTCCGGCTTTTTTAGCGAATTAGCTTTGCAAATTTTATGAGGCCCTCTGAAAAACCAGAAGAGGTTCGGGCTCACTCCCGGGGGAGAGGGAGTGGCTTTCACCTTTGGCCCCGCCCTACCCGCACTCTGCAGTTCTCTGTGATTGGCTTCGCTGGTTCGGAGGATGTCCTATCAGGAGGCTTCCTCGGAGATCGGGGTGTGGCTTCGACTCCCACGCGGGGAAGCCGTACTTCCCCCATGTCCAGCCTGCGCCCAAGAGGTGACTCAGCAGGGGGGCGTGGCTCAATTGGGCCAGAAGGACCGGCCACGCCCAGGCCTGCAGGGGTCCACTGGACCTTTGTGGTTGATGGCCCAATAGCGGGCTGAGGTGGGAGGGCCTAGGCCTGGTTATCCTTTTCCTTCCTTCCTTCCTTCCTTCCTTCCTTCCTTCCTTCCTTCCTTCCTTCCTCCCTCCCACCCTCCCTCTCTCCCCACCTTCCTCTCCTCTCCACCTCCCTCCGCCCCTCACCTCCCTTCCTCCTTTTCCTTACTTGCTAATTTCTTCTCTTGGGGCTTGAACTCTGAGCCTGGGGACTGTCCCTGAACTTTTATGCTCAAGGTGAACACTCCCACTTGAACCACAGCTCCACTTTCTGTTTTTTGGTGATCAAATGGAGATGGACTCTCCTCCCACCCATTCTGGCTTTGAATCAAGATCTTCAGATGTCAGTCTCCTGAATAGCTAGGATTACAGGCAGGGTGCTACTGGGCACCCAGCTCTTATTTTTAACTTATTCCTCTGTGTGTGTGTGTATTGAAATTGAGCCCTCAGGCTTGAGTCTCACCCCCTAGTCCTTTTGCTTTTAGTTTTTCAGATAGGATCATGATACAAGTATGTCAGATGCCAGCCTAAGTCCTTGAACTGCCTACCTCCACTTCCTAGTAGCTGGGATTACATGTGTGTGCAACTCCACAGCACCTTTTTTTTTTCTTTGCTGGTCCTGGGGCTTGAGCCTCTTTGTGGTGAAGGCTAGCCCTCTACGAGTTGACCAGCAGCACCACTTCCAGCTTTTTTCTGAGTAGTTTATTGGAGATAAAAGAGTCTCATGAAGGGCTAGGAATGTGGCTTAGTGGTAGAGTGCTTGCCTAGCATGTATGATGCTCTGGGTTCTAGTCTTCAGCACCACACAAACAGAAGTTGGAAGTGGTGCTATAGCTCAAGTGGTAGAGTGCTAGCCTTGAGCAAAAGAAGCTCAGGGATAGCTCCCAGGCCCTGAGTTCAAGCCTCAGGATTGGGAAAAAAAATAAAAATATAAATTAAAGAGTCTCATCTACTTTCCTGCCCGGGCTGGCTTTGAACTGCAATCCTCAGATCTTACCCTCCAGAGTAGCTAGCATGACAGGCATGAGCCACCGGCCAGCCTTTAGATTTTTAAAGTAGTTGATAACACATCTTCTCTTGAAGGTCACCTCTGAACAATGCAAAGAACCTTGTATGTGAAGGCCTATTATGTGTGAGGTCCTGTGCACAAAACTGGGCACAATAGTACCTTCAAAGATAACCCCCCCCATCCTTCTACCCCTGGGCTAGCAGAGGTGGGGGGGAGGATACAGGCCAGATGGAGTCTCAAGTGCTAGCTGAGTGTGGTCATTTGGGAGAGAGGGGGAATTATAAGGCATGATGGGAGAACATGACCCAGGCCAGGAGGACTGGTTAGGTCAGTGAAGGCCTTGTAGAGGAAATGAAAGCTGAAACTTGAGGCTAAATAAGACAATTAAAGGGAAGGAGGAGAGGGAGATGTGTATTCCAGACAGACAGAACAGGGTGTGCAGAGGCCTGGGAAACAAGCCCAGACATTAGAGGAATTGAAAGTAGTTCAGTCTGGTTCTGTCCTGGCAGCAGGTGGCAAAGGAAGATGCTGAAGATGAAGATAGAACCAGACTGTATAGGACCTTTGTAAACTGAGCTAAGGAGTTGAGGATGATCACTAGGGAGCCATGGCAGAGGTTTAAGCGGGGGAGTGGCACCATCAGCTTTGTCAACAAAAAGTTTATTGCTCCTATGGTATGGGGAATGGAATAGAGATAGAAATAGTCAAGGTAGGGGCTGGGAAGGTGGCTCAGTGGTAGACTGCTTGCCTTGCAAGCATGAGGCCCTGGGTTCGATTCCTCAGCACCACAGAAGCAGAAAAAGCCGGAAGTGGCGCTGTCGCCCAAGTGGTAGAGTGCTAACTTTGAGCTGAAGAGCTGAGGGACAGCACCTAGGCCCAGAGTTCAGGCCCCACAACTGACAAAAAAAAAAGAAAAAGAAAAGAAAGAAAGAAAGCAAAAGAAAAAGTCAGAAATTTGGGGGTGAGGTGCTGATGGCTCATGCCTGTAATCCTAGCTACTCAGGGAGCTGAGATCTGAGGATCATGGCTCAAATCCATCATAGGCAGGAAAATTTGTGAGACTCTTATCTGCAATTGACTAGGAAAAAGCCCTAAGTGGAGCTGTGGTTCAAAAAGTATAGTGACAGCTTTTTTTTTTTGGTCAGTCATGGGGCTTGAACTCAGAGCCTGGGCACTGTCCTGAGCTCTTTATGCTCAAGGCTAGTGCTTTACCACTTTGAGCCACAGTTACTCTTCCAATTTTCTGGTGGTTAGTTGGAGATCAGTGTCTCACAGACTTTCCTGCCTGGGCTGGCTTTAAACCTCAATCCTCAGATCTCAGCCTCCTGAGTAACTAGGATTACAGGCAGGAACACCTGCCCTAGTGCCAACTATTTTGCTCAAGAGAGAGTGTTCAAGCCCTAAGTCCAAGCTCCAAGACCAGCACAGAAAAGAGAGAGAGACAGAGACAGAGAGAGACAGAGAGAGAGAGAGAGAGGGGAAAGAAAGAAGGAAATCAGTCATGCACTGGTGACTCATGCCTATAATCCTAGCTACTCAGGAGGCTGAGATCTGAGGATTGCAGTTTGAAGCCAGCCCGAGAAGGAAAATTTATGAGACTCTTATCTCCAATAAACTTTTCAAAAAAGGTCAAGTGGTACTGTGCCTCAGGTGGTAAGAGTGTTAGCCTTGAGCAATAGAGGCTAAGGGATAACACCCAGGTTCCGAGTTCAAGCCCCAGAACTTGCAAAAGAAAAGAAGAAACCAAAATACATCAGAGGGCTCTGCTTCACTGTCAAGCCTGTAATCCTAGCTATTCAGGAGCCTGAGATCTGAGGATTGCTGTTCAAAGCCAGCCCAGTCAAGAAAGTCCATGAGACTCTTATCTCCAATAAACCACTCAGAAAACCAGAAGTGGTGCTGTGGCTCAAGTGCTAGAGCATTAGCCTTGAGCTGAAGAGCTGAGGACCAGCGTTCAGACCCAGAGTTCAAGCCCTACCACTGACAAAAAAAAAAAAAAAAAAAGAGAGAGAGAATATGGTTAAACTGGGCTCATGCCTGTAATCCTCGCTACTCAGGAGGCTGAGATCTGAGGATTGCGGTTCAAAGTCAGCCTGGGCAGAAAAGGCAATGAGACTCTTATCTCCAATTAACCACCAGAAAATCAAAAGTGGCACTATGGCTCAAGTGGTAGAGCACTAGCCTTGAACTGAAGAGCTCAGGGACAGTGCCCAGGCCCAGAGTTCAAGCTCCATGACTGACCAAAAAAAAAAAAAAGTTTAGCTGCAGATGTAGCTTCATGATACAGAGCTTGGCTAGCATGCACAATATTCCAGGTTTAATCCCCAATATCCTAAAACAATGCTTGCCTAACATTCATTAATCCCTTTGCCAGACTTCGACATAATCCTCCCAATTCTTAAGCATTTTTTCTCTAATTCCTCCAGCTTTCATCTCTCTGATGACACTGTGGGTATCAAGAATCTCCCTGACAAATGGAAACAGAGCTATTGTTGCCAGTAGCTGATGGAATTGGAAAAATGGAAGCCAAAGTATCCATCTCACTCTCTGGCCAGGTGCTAGGAGCCAGGTTTGAAGACAGAGAGGCGGAATAGTCCCCAAGGATATCCTAATACATCCTATACATCCTAATCTCTCCTTCAAGCCTGTGCTGTGAATATATTCCTTTATGTGGCTAATGTGATTCTGCAGAGATGATTAAGTTAAGCATCTTGAGACAAGATGATGGTCCTGGATTATCTAAATGCATTTAACATAATCACCGGAGAGCTTAACAGATGAAAAGAGGGGAAGGGGGTAGTTCATTGGTATAACACAAGTTCCTGTATCTGTCCCCAGTGTTGAAAAAAAAAAAAAGAAAGAAAGAAAGAAAAAGAAAAAGATACGGCCAGGTGCCTGTGGCTCACACCTGTAATTCTAGCTACTGAGGACGCTGAGATCTGAGCATCATATTTCCAAGCCAGCCCTGGCAAGAAAATCCATGACACTCTTATCTCCAATTAACCACCAAAACCAGAAGTGGAGTTGTGGCTTAAGTGGTAGAGCACCGGCTTTGTGCAAAGAAGTCAAGCAAGAGGGCCAGGAATGTGTCTTAGTGGTAGAATGCTTGCCTAGCCTGACTGAAGCCTGGGGTTCAATTCCTCAGTACAACATAAACAGAAAAAGCTGGAAGCGGTGCTGTGGCTCAACTGGTAGAGTGCTAGCCTGGAGCAAAAGAAGCTCAGGGACAGTGCCCAGGTCCTGAGTTCAAGCCTCAGAACTATCAAAAGAAAAAAAAAAAAAAGCTAAGAGATAGTTCTCAGGTCCCAAGTTTAAGTCCCAGTACACACACACACACACACACACACACACACACAATCACAAAGTATTTTTCTCTTCCAGTGACTTTGAGCAAACCCCTCTCTTCACTGGCTGTGGATTCCTGTCTGTGTAAAAGGACAGAGGAATGGCCAGAGAATTCTTCTTAAGGACTTTGGCCATCTGCCTAGTGAGTCAGTATTTCCTGGATTTGAAGTGACTACAGAGACCCTGGGGCTGCTACCCTGCCTGCCACCATCCACTGTCTGGCTTCCTCCTGAGTGTTCTGCTTGGAGTCTTTCTTGCTTCCCCAAATCATGCACAGCTACTCAAACAAGGAGCTCTGTTAAAAGACAGGGGAACAATGCTTTATTGAATTGGCACCTATGAAGGGGTGGCTACAGCCTCCCCGTTCCCCCCACCTCCCCAGGCATCTTTGCAAATGGGAGGCTCCATGCTAGGGGCAGGGTAAATTGGAGAGGTGGGGCCAGCTGCGGGGAGGAGCCACTGTCCCGGCTTTGCACCCGTCAGCCCCTTGTCCAGCTGAGCACCATCAGAATCCAGGCCCTCACTGAGCAGTGTGGCAATGACCCAGGTTCTTCAGCCCCTGTGAGTCTAAAAAATGAGTTCCTGCCTCTCCTCTTCTTGGAGAATCTCAAGTCAGGGAAAAAGGGAACATACCCCATTTATAGATAGCCCCTGAGCCATCTGGATCTAGATAGAGGAAGGCAGGTTCAGGGTGCTTAGAAGAGAAATCTCAGCAAAGAGGAGTTAGGGTGAGTACTCTTTCTCCTATTGTTTGTTTGAGCTGAGAATTACATGAGCACTTTCGTTGCATTGGGCTGAAAATAGTCAATACACGGATAGGGGTACAGCCTGTCTTCCAGACATGGGAAGGGATGGGCAAAGTGAAGGGGAGAAGTCACAGGGGGCTTCCTGGAGGAGGAGCAGGCTCCCTGAAGAGAGGCGGACTCCAGAGTTGATGGGGTCATGATGGCTGGCACAGGACGCTGGCGTCCTCGCTGTGGTCACAATTGTGGACATCCCAACGGATGTGAGAACACAGAAGCAGGGTGCTCTCATCTCCGCGGCACTTGACATTGTCCAGGAGGATGGGGCCTCGGCCTGGCCCAAAGTGTGCCTCACCCAGGGCTGCCAGGGCCTGGCCACAGCCCAGCTGGCGGCACAGGACACTGGCTGCCCGTAGGTCCCAAGCATCATCACAGACAGTACCCCACCGCTGCCCTAGAAAGAGCTCTACACGCCCCTCGCATCGGTGGGTGCCACCGGCCAGACGCAGATGTCCTGTATAGAGACAAAGCCTGGGGTTAAAAGGGACTGATTTGTGCCAGGCACCGCTATGCTAGAGCAGGTAAAGGGTGGTTGGAGGAGGGAAAGGGTGGTGGTGGGTGACACAGGACTGCCCGTTGAAGACCCCGCCCCCCTCTCCATGGACAGATAAATGATATTATATTAGGATAGGCAGCAACATGGGCCAGGGAGACTCAGGACACAAACTCAGCCAGGAGACTTTGGCTCAAGTCTGTAATCCTAGCTACTTGTGAGGCTGAGATCTGAGGATTACAGTTTGAAGCTAACCCAGGAAGGAAATTCCATGAGACTCTCATCGCCAATTAACCACCAAAAAGCCAGAAGTGGAGGAGCTGTGGCTCAAGTGGTAGAGCACTGGCTGTGAGCAAAAGTTAAGGGACAACACCAAGGCCCTGAGCACAAAAAGAAAGAAGAAAAAGAGCCGGGCACTGGTGGCTCATGCCTTTAATCCTAGCTACTCAGGAGGCTGAGATTTGAGGATCTTGGTTCAAAGCCAGCCCAGGCAGGAAACTCTGTGAGACCCTTAGCTCCAATTAATCACCAGAAAATTAGAAATGGCACTGAGGAGGAAGAGAAAGAGGAGGAGGAGGAGGAGGAGGAGGAGGAGGAGGAAGAGGAGGAGAAGGAGGAGGAGGAGGAGGAGGAGAAGAGGAGGAGAAGAGGAGGAGAAGAGGAGGAGGAAGAGAAGAGGAGGAGGAGGAGGAGGAGGAGGAGGAGGAAGAGGAGGAGGAGGAGGAGGAGGAGGAGGAGGAAGAGGAGGAAGAAGAAACCAAAACATGCTGAGTGGTCTCTAGGTCTCTGATCACCATCCCAGGGCCTTAGCCCAGGCTAGATGTTTGGAGACCCTGAAGGTCCTAGTATGTCCCTTGTAAGTCACTGGACTTCCTTTTTTTTTTTTTTTGTCGGTCGTGGGGCTTGAACTCTGGGCCTGGGCGCTGTCCTTTAGCTCTTCAGCTCAGGGCGAGCGCTCTACCACTTGAGCTACAGCACCACTTCCGGTTTTCTGGTGGTTTATTGGAGATAGGAGTCTCACGGTCTCTCCTGCCCGGGCTGGCTTTGAACCGCGATCCTCAGATCTCAGCCTCCTGAGTAGCTAGGATTACAGGCGTGAGCCACCAGCGCCCGGCTGGACTTCCTTTTTTATCCTCTGGATTCTCTGAGCTGAATTCTGAATTCTTTTTTGGGGGGAGATGGGTAGATACTGGGGTTTGAACTCAGGGTCAATATTTGTTCAGCAGGTGCTCTGCCATTTGAGCATGCCCCTTTTTCACTTATTGTTCAGGTAGGTTCTGCAAGCAGGCCTCCCAAACACTCCCATCTAGGCCCCTTGTGTAGCTAGGATCTACAGCTACATATCACCCTATGTGGCTTAATGATTGAAATGGGACCTCACCAACTTTTGCCCAGCTTGGCCTAGCTGAACCTTGATCCAAAATTCCAAATTATTTCATTGCTTTCCTCAGAACAGGAACCCTCTTCCTCCATTTTGACCTCAGCTATAAAAACTTTTAGATTACTTTAAGTCTCCTTTCCTTCTTCCTGGACCTCTTAATGAGGTCCCTCTTAATGAGACCTGAGGCCAATACAAAAGTACCAGAGTTTCAGGACATGCCACAAATCTGCTGAGCTGCTATAACTCAGGATGTGATCTAACCAGACCCATCCTAGCCTGATGGTTCCACCTAACTTTCAGGTGGGTGTGGGCACCTACCGTCCCTAGGCCGAGGAGTGGGCACCCGGGTGGTCTCAGAGCCATCCTGTTGGGCTTGCAGTCCCAGGTCCTCTGGACCTGGCTCATCAAAGAGAAAATGTCATTTGGAGGCCCCTCCTCTCCTCCCCAGGGAAGCCCATCGCAGGGCTGGAAAAGACTCCATGGGACCCTAGAGAACCAGCCCACCTTGCCAGGAGAAATGAGGGTTGTATTAATTTGTCCCTGGGGATCAAAGGCAGGTCCCCCTGTGGCCAAGGCTTCCTAGGCATAATCCCTGAAATGAGGGTTTTCACGCATCCATCAAGGAACCAGAAGCATTTGACAGACTCTGATCCCCGCTAGCTTCCCATTTCTTACTAGAACTTCAGCAGGAAGCAAGCGGCCCTGCCCTTCGCTCTCAGGTCTGGGCCCTCCCCAAGTCTGGGGGTCACCCGCCCCGCCGTGCCTTGCCGCAGGGTCCCCGCCCTAGAGCCGCACCCTACTCTCCCACTGCGGAAAGAACGCCCTTCAAGCCCCACCCCAGCTGTGCAGCCGCTGAACACAGCGACCGCTGGCGGCTGCTTTCGGCCCAACACTCCCGCTGCAGTGCAGCAGAGCCCCGCCCACTCTCCAGATCTACGTCCACCTACCCGGCGGAGCGTGCTGACGCACAGCCACGCCCATCTGTCATCAGACCCCACCCCCTCCCGGCCCGCCTTTCCCAGGCCCGCCTGCCCCGGGGCCGGCCGCAGCCTCACCTGCGCAGAGCGCCCCCGCGTCCTCGTGGTGACCGCAGTTGTGCTGGCCCCAGCCCAGGTGGAAGCAGTCGCTCAGGCGGGCCTCGGTGCCCGTGCAGCCCACGTTGTCCAGCAGCACTGGACCACGGCCATAGCCGAAGTGACCGAGGCCAGTGGCGCCCAGCGCGGGCCCGCAGCCCGCCTCGCGGCAGGCCACCCGCGCATCCAAGAAGTCCCAGTCATCGTCGCACACGGTGCCCCAGGCCCCGGCGTACAGCACCTCCACGCGGCCGCGGCACGGGCCTGGGCCGCCCACCAGCCGCAGCCGCCCGCCTGTGGGGCGCACATGCCCGGGGCCAGAGCGGCTGGGCTGGGGTGGCCTGCTCCCAGGTGGCGCCTGGGCCCCCCTGCCCACCCACCACCCTCCCTCTCCACGGAATCCCCCACTTACTTTTTTTCCCCGAGGCCCAGGTGGCTGTGGTCAGCAGTGCGGTTTCCCCTGAAGGCTGGGCACCAACACGGGTAGCTGCAGAGAAGGGAAAATCTAGGTTGACTGAAGGTCACCAGGAGGTCATCCATCCTGTAGCGGGACCAGGGGATCTCTACTGGAGTACTTCTAACTGTTCCAGGCCTGTATCACACCTCAGCCTAATTCCTAATTCCTGGCATTATCCTAGTGTGTGTGCATCTTAGCTTTTTCACTCAAGCCTGGCATTCTATCGCCTGGACCACACTTCCATTTCTGGCTGTCTGGTTGGTTAACTGGAGATAAGAAGTCTCATAAACTTTCTTCCCGAGGCTTTTTTTTTTCCTTGGGCCTGAGTGCTGTGTCTGAGCTCTTCAGCTCAAGGCAAGCACTCTACCGCTTGAGCCACAGCACCACTTCTGATTTTCTAGTGGTTAATTGGAGATGAGTCTCATGGGCTTTCCTGCCCGGACTGACTTCAGCCTCCTGAGTAGCTAGGATTATAGGCTTGAGCCACTGGCATGGGCAGCCCTAGTCTGTCTTTGAACTGTGATCCTCAGAGTTCAGTTTCCTGAGTAGCTACAATGACAGGCCTGAACCACTCACACCATCTTCTGAAACAATGAAAAGTCTCAAGGGAGCCATCTGTTCTGCAGCAGAGCCCAGGAGACCTGTGTTGGAATACCCTTACCTATACCTCCCCTGTACCTTCACCCTCAATTTTTTTGGGGGGGTCGGTTATGGGACTTGAACTCTGGGCTTGGGCACTATCCCTACACTCTTCAGCTCAAGGCAAGCGCTCTACCACTTGAGCTATAGCACCACTTCCGGTTTTCTAGTGGTTTACTAGAGATAGGAGTCTCCTATCTTGAGCTGAAGAGTTGAGGGACAGTGCCCAGGCCCAGAGTTCAAGCCCCATGACCAAAAAAAAAAAAAAGAGTCTCACAGACTTTCCTGCCTGGGCTGGCTTTGAGCCGTGATCCTCATATCTCAGCCTCCTGAGGAGCTAGGATTACAGGAGTGAGCCACCAGACCCGGCTTTCACCCTCAATTCTTTTTTTTTTTTTGTCTGCTGTAGGGTCTGAACTCTGGGCCTGGGCACTGTCCCTGAATTCTTCAGCTCAAGGCCAACACTCTACCACTTGAGCCACAACGCCACTTCCAGCTTTTTCTGTTTATGTGGTGCTGAGGAATTGAACCCAGGGCCTCATGCATGCGAGGCAAGCACTCTACCACTAAGCCACCTTCCCAGCCCCGATTTCACCCTCAATTCTGCAGTCACTAAATCCTAGTTCCAGGGAATATTTTTTATTTATTTATGTTTTGCCAGTCCTGGAGCTTGAACTCAAGTCTTGGGCATTGTCCCTGAGCCTCTTTTGTTCAAGGCTAGCACTTCACCACTTGAGCCACAGCACCACTTCCAGCCTTTTCTGTTTATGTGGTACTGAGGAATCAAACCCACAGCTTCATACATGCTAGGCAAGCACTCTACCACTAAGCCACTTTCCCAGCCCTATCCTAATTTTAATCCAAGTGACAGCCTCAGCCTAATTCCAAAAGTACCTCTAACTTTGACTCATCATCATTTTAGTCCTCTCACAAGGAAGGCCTCTCAATTCCCACCCATAGCACCAGTGTCACATTTTACTAAAGTGCTTTTTTTTTTTTTTTTGGTCAGTCATGGGGCCTGAACTCTGGGCTTGGGTGCTGTCCCTCAGCTCTTCAGCTCAAGGCTAGCGCTCTACCACTTGAGCCACAGCACCACTTCTGGCTTTTTCTGCTTATGTGGTGCTGAGGGCCTTATACATGCAAGACAAGCATTCTACCCCTAAGCCACCTTCCCAGCCCCTGAAGTGCTTTGAAAAAAATCCCTTACTACCACCTCACACCAGGCTGAATTTTGCAGAGCCCTGGATTTGATCCTTGTTCTATCTGCTCTGGGCTCTTACCCACCTCTATCAGCTGATACAAAGCCAGGGCCTATTAAGTCTTTTCCTGAGAAAGCCTTCCCAGTTTCCACCTTTACCCACCTTGCTCCTCCCATTCCAAGGTGGTCTCTTTACCTGCTGGCGCTGTGTGCCAGGCCCAGTCCTCTCTTGTGGCTGAGGGTGACAGTGCTGTGAGAGTTGGAGGGCCCAGGACTAGATTTGGGGAGGAGAGAGGAAGGTCAGAGGTTGAGATTCAGATTCCTAGTCAACCATGGGCTGTTGAAGAAGAAAGAAGGCTCTCTCCCAGAAGGAATGGATAGATTTTCCTTCCAGGGCTGGGGGCTCAACCCAAGCAGGGATCCAATCAGGACTGCCCTGCTTTGGTGATAACAATGTTTGTGCTTCGGGTACGTGCACGTCATCGTTTATACAGGGCTGTCACAGACATGCTGTAATATTGTTATGTATGTATGGAGTGGGTCACAAATTCTGGGATATTCTTAGGTGCACTGTAGCGCATGACTGTGATGGCAGAAGCAATTCTGGAATCATCCTTGGAAAGCCAGAGGGTAGCCCCGCCTCCGGCCCCATTCCAGACCACGCCCCTCTGACCCCCCCACCCTCCCACCCCCCCTCCCACCCACTCCCCACCCCCTGCCAGGCACCTGCACAGAGCGCGCCTGCATCCTCGTGGTGGCCACAGTTGTGCACGCCCCAGCCCAGGCTCAGGCAGGCAGCCAGGCGGGGCTCACCACCCTCACAGTGCACGTTGTCCAGCAGGATGTGCCCCGTGCCGTAGCCGAAGAAGGCGTTGGTGGTGGCAGCCAAGGCCGCCCCGCAGCCCAGCTGGCGGCAGACCACGGCGGCATCCGGCAGTCCCCAGTCGTCATCACACACGGTGCCCCACAGGCCGCCGTGCAGGATCTCCACTCTTCCCTGGCATGGGCCGGCGCCCCCCACTAGGCGAACGCTGCCCTCCCCTGGTGAAGGCAGGCAGAGAGCAAGGGTCCCATCCCACCGGGATCTGCCTCCCACTCCAGCCTGGGTGCCTAGGCCATGCCCATGCATGCGGTCCTGTGCTCCAGGACTCAGAACTCGGGTGGGGTGGGGGCGGGGGCTGCTGATCGCCCCTCACCCACAGCTGAGCCTCCTCAGGCCAGGGGAAGGAGTGTGGTTTGAGGGATCTCAAGGCTTTTTACCTCTGCCTAAACCCAGCCCTCCTCACCCCAGCCCTGCCAGCCTAAAACCAGTTCTTGCCCCTGCTCTGCTTGCTCACTTACTTCTGCCCAATGAAAACCTTTCCCCTCCCTGAAGCCCTCCTTAATGTGTATGTGTGTGGGGGGGGGGAGGAGGAAAGGAGGGATGGAGTGTGAGAGTCCTGGGGCTTGAACTCGGCCTGGGCACTATCCCTGAGCTTTTTCCTTCAAGGCTGGCACTCTACAACTTGAGCCACAACACCACTTTTTGCATTTTGGTGGTTAATTGGAGATAAGGGCCTCACAGACTTTCCTGCCCAGGCTGGCTTTGATCGGATCTCAGATCTCAGCCTCCTGAGTCATTAGGCTTGTAAGCATAAACCAACAGCACCAGGCTAAGTTCTCGTTCAGGGAAGGTTGGGATATTCTTTACTTTGCTGGTTTCCTTTGCCTTAACTGTCCCTTAACTGTTCCTCAGAAAAAGGACCTTGCATTTCCTATTCTCCCATTGGATTATTACCACCACCACCACACACTCACCACACACACACCATCACACCTTGCTTATTCTGTCTAGTCTTCAATTTGTAATCTGTTCTCACCCCCTAAAGTGTGGGAGACTCATAAAAACCTAGGTAGTGTCACACACTACTCTTTCTTACCTTTCCCGTTCTGAGGAGCTGTAGTGGGCGTGCTACTGGTTAATGCCTTCCTCATTGGCGGCTGGGTGGACAAGAATTCTGAGGAGGAAGCAGGGTGGGAGGAAGGATACAGGATCTTTTGATTGATTCTCCATCCTCTTCATGCAAATGAGGGGCGTGGTCACTTCTAAGGAGCCTGACTCCAGTCTCTCTCTTCACATGACTGGTCAAAGCCAAGAACCCAGAAGAACCCAGGGAGGAATATGATAGCAGAAAGGGCCACCAAAATCCTTTTGTTTTGTTTTGTTTTGTTTTAGTGAGACAAGTTGTTGCTATGTAGCCCAAGCTGGCCTGAAACCTGAGACCTTCCTACTTTAGCCTCCAAAGAGCTGGGATTACAGGTATGCACCACCACACCTGGCTTCTAAACTCTTTTTTTTTTTTTTTTTTCAATTGTGGGGCTTGAACTCAGAACCTGAGTGTTGTCCCTGAGTTTGTTTTTGCTCAAGGCTAGTGCTGTACCTCTTTGAGCCATAGACCTCTAGTTTTTAGGTGGTAAATTGGAGAGAAGAGTCTCACTGGGCTGGTAATATGGCTTAATTTTAGAGTGCTTGCCTTGCATGCATGAAGCCCTGGGTTCCATTCCTCAGCACCACATAAGCAGAAAAAGCTGGAAGTGGTGCTGTGGCTCCAGTGATAGAATGCTAGCCTTGAGCTGAAGAGCTGAGGGACAGCACCCAGATCCAGAGTTCAGGCCCTATGACCGGCAAAAAAAAAAAAAGCCAAAAACTGGGGTGGGAATGTGGCTTAGTGGTAGAATGCTTGCCTAGCATTCATGAAGCCCTGGGTTCAATTCCTCAGTACCACATAAACAGAAAAAGTGACACTGTGGCTCAAATGGTAGAGCGCTAGCCTTGAGCAAAAGAAACTCAGGGACAGCTGGGCGCCGGTGGCTCATACTTGTAATCCTAGCTACTCAGGAGGCTGAGATATAAGGATCACGGTTCAAAGCTAGCCCGGGCATGAAAGACTGTGAGACTCTGGTTTTTTTTCTTGTCTGTTGTGGGGCTTGAACTCTGGGCCTGAGCCCTGTCCCTCAGCTCTTCAGCTCAAGGCTAGCAATCTACCACTTGAGCCACAGTGTCACTTTCAGCTTTTTCTGTGTATGTGGTGCTGAGGAATCAAACCCAAGGCCTCATGCATGCTAGGCAAGCACTCTACCACTGAGCCACCTTCCCACGGAGACTGTGAGACTCTTATCTCCAATAAACCACTAGAAAACCGGAAGTGGCACTGTGGCTCAAGTGGTAGAGCACTGGCCTTGAGCTGAAGAGCTGAGGCATAGCACCCAAGACCAGAGTTCAAGCCCCATGACTAACATAAATAAATAAACAAATAAAAAGAAAAGAAAAGAAAAAGAAGCTCAGGGACAGTGCCCAGGCCCTGAGTTCAAGCCCCAGGACTGGCAAAAAAAAAAAGAAAGAAAGGCAAAATCTTAGGCCCTGATCCAGACCTGTAGAATCAGAAACTCTAGGATGGGGATATGATTATGTTGTTATGAATGCTGCAAGCTTGAAAACTAGAACCACTTCTATGCCCACATTTGGCCACTGTGACTACAACGATTATTTTTCCTGGTTATTGGAGATGAGTCTTATGGACTCTTCTGTTTGGACTGTCCTTGAACCGAGATCCTCAGATCTCAGCCTCCTCAGTAGCTAGGATGACAGGCATGAGCCACCAGCGCCTGACTAGTTTTCTTTCTGTCCATGGTTGCACAATGAGCCAGAACAAGAAGCTAGGGGACCCAGCCTGGGCACTTCGCATTGGCACCAGCCAAAGTAGTAGCTTCTAGCTCTGTCTTCATGGAACATGTTGAACACCAGGAAGTCCCTTCCTCTGACTAGCCAACAGCCCTGATGCCTTATCCTAATGGGCCCCAGCCCTTGGCTCACCATCGCACAGGACGGCCACGTCTTCATAGTGGAAACAATTGTGGATGCCCCAGCCTCGGCTGCCACACTCGCTCAGCGCAGCTTCCTGCCCGCGGCACTCCACGTTGTCCAGAAGGATGGGGCCCCGGCCCTGGCCGAAGGCGAGGGGGCGAGGCACGGGCAGTGCCAGGCCACAGCCCAGCTGACGGCACACCACATTGGCATCCACCACATCCCAATCGTCGTCGCAGACGCTGCCCCAAGAACCTCCATGCAGGACCTCCAGGCGCCCCCGACAGCGGCTCGGGCCCCCCACCAGCCTCAGCTCTGCAAAGAGGGTCCAGCTGGCCACCAGCGGGGAGCAGGGGCCCAAGCTACAGGGTGCCCACTTTGGGGTCCATCCCTCTTGTGAGACTGGGAGGCTGGGAAATGCTAGACATAGAGGCATCTAGACTCTCTGGGAGCAGGTTAGCACCCCAGGTCTTCTGCCTGAGGTTCTGAATACCTGGGGTAGGTGAGGTCAAGGAAGGGAGGGGTGGTACCTACCTGGAAAGGGCAGTAGACTGGTCTGGAGGGCACTGGCTGAAACAGTGAGGAAGAGCATCCTCTGGCTGCCTAGCCCCCAGAACATGGTCTTCTCCCTTCTCTATCATCCCCACCTTGGTCCATTCTTCTATCACTCTGTCATCCCCCCCTCTCCCTACTCCATCATCCCTGCCTTGGTCCCCTCTTCAATCTACCTCCTCCTTCTCCCCCATCCATTATTCCCACCCCTCTCCCTCCTCCATCATCCCCTCTTCAGTCTCCTTCTCCATCATCCCCTCCTCCGCTCCTCCCTCCATCATCCTCTTTCCCCACTCCTCCATCATCCCCTCCTCTTGGACTCCTGCTTTTCCAAAGCCTTATCACCTCTTTCTGGGACTATTCCATTAGTCTCCACAGGCCACCCCCAAATATGCTTGCCTGAGATGTAGTCCTGCCTGTCTAACTCTATGGCTATGTCCCTTAAAGATTGTGGCAAGCTCAACCACTGAGTTCTCTCCACAAAGCCTTCTAGTATCTTCTGACTAGCCTTATTTTGTTTATTCCTTGTGACTCTGGGGATAATCTCAGGGATTTGTGATCCTCCTGCCTCTGCCTCCCAAGGAGCCAGGATTACAGATAAGCAATACCTCATCTGGCTTTCAGTCATCTAATGTCATTGATTCTCCCAGCTGCATTTCCAGCATGGATGGTGAGCCCATCCCTTTCCCTCCTTCACTGTTTCCAGTGACTGTTGACTGCCAGCTCTTAGTTGTTACCACTCGGGCTGAGTGGTCCACGTCTCAAACTGAAGCTCTTTCTTTTTTTTTTTTTTTTTTTTTTTGTCGGTCGTGGGGCTTGAACTCTGGGCCTGGGCGCTGTCCCTCAGCTCTTCAGCTCAAGGCGAGAGCTCTACCACTTGAGCTACAGCGCCACTTCCGGTTTTCTAGTGGTTTATTGGAGATAGGAGTCTCACGGTCTTTCCTGCCCGGGCTGGCTTTGAACCACGATTCTCAGATCTCAGCCTCCTGAGTAGCTAGGATTACAGGCGTGAGCCACCGGTGCCTGGCTCAAACTGAAGCTCTTTTTGAGCTGGAAAGACTGTCAGGATCCACTTCATTCACACCCTCTCTCCTGCCCTGCCTCTGTCCATCCTTGGACAACTGGGGAAACAGAGCCAGAAAGAGAAGTGGTAGGGGCTGGCTGGAAGCACTCACCCAGTGGCAGGAAGAAGAGGAAGGACAGAGCTGGAGAGAGGGGAAGAGGTGGCAGAGGTGGAGGGGCAGCGCTCTCATTCCCAGGCCTCCACCCTCCACTCCTCTCATCCAGCTGTGGACCGAAGGACATTTCAGCTTCCTGCTGCACCCAGCTGGTGGATGGTCTTTCAAGTGGTCCCATCAAGAGGCTGGGAAAAAGTCACAGCTGGAACATCTGGAATTCAAGATGGCCACCATTTACTTCCAGTGAGAGGGTCAGCTTCAGGGGAAAAGGATATTCCTACTTGGGCTGACATTCCTAGTGGAAGCAAGGGCAGGACCACAGCTGGTTGCTATGGGTGATGGGAGGATGGATGGATGTGGCTCTGTGGCTGAGAACTTACAGGGCTCCATCCCCCAGCACCATGGGAAGAAGGAAGGAAAGAAAGGAAGGGAGGGAGGAAGGAAGGAGAGGTTAGGTTTTGCTGGAGTGTAGACACAGTGAAGGTGATAGGTTGGAGATAAAGTCAAACAGGCTGGGTACAGCCATGGCCTGGACAAGGGCTCATTTTATCCTCCAGGGCTGCATGCCTGATTTGTTTGTTGAGACAGAGTATTGATAACTTTTTGCCATCCTGGCCTCAAACCTTGGTCCTTCCAATTTGTATCTCCCAAATGTCTGGGATTGTGGGTGCCAGCTTATAGTGACACATAGTGACTTTACTTATGTTTATTGCTTTGGTCATGAGGCTTGAACTCAGGGCCTGGGCGCTGTCCCTGAGCTCTTTTTGCTTCTCATATGTTAGGTACTCTGCCACTGAGTCACACTCTCAATCCCAAGATTTTAAAAAAAATTTTTTTTGGCCAGGTGCTAGTGGCTCTCTCTTATAATCCTAGTTATTCTGGAGGCTGAAATCTGAGGCTCCCAGTTTGAAGTCAGCCTGGGCAGGTAAGTCCATGAGACTCTTATCTCCAATTAACCAGCCAAAAGCCAGAAGTGGCACAGTGGCGCAAATGTTAGAGTGCTAACTTTGAGCAAAAACGGCTCAGTGACAGGGCCCAGCTCCTGAGTTCAAGCTCTGGGACAGGCACAAAAAATAAACAGAAAACACAATCAGCATTTCAGTGCCTGCCCCATCCATACCCCTTTCCCCCATCCCCTTTCCTTTCAGACTTGAGAGGAGGGTGATACTGGGTATTCCTTTGATGGACTGGTTGGTTGGGGGTCAGATGGAATGGAGGCTGGTCCTGAAGCTGATGTGACTCATAAGACTCAGCACCGCAAAAGGACAGACACAAATACCAATGAGAGGCCCAGCTGGCTGCAGGGGCTTCTGGGGGAGGTGTGGGTATGTGGGAGGGGCATGTAGCTGCCTCTAAGTCCCTCTGAGCACAGACATAGCAGGCGGATGGGCTGGGTGGCACGGATGAAGAGGGAGGTACCCAGGCACCATGTCCCTCCTAGGAGGATCTCTCCTCACCCACAGCTCCCATTTACCCTGGCTTTTCCTTCACCTTGGCATACTGGCAGTCAGGATTGGAGTGGGGAGTGAAAGTCTATCTGGCTGCAGACATGAGATTTTCAACACTCCATTCATGGGGGCCAGTGGAACAAACCCCTTTTGTCTCTCTGCCTGGACCGGGGACAGCTGGGCGATGGGAATGGAGAACTGTTGAGAAGGAGGGAAACAAGCTCAGGCCCCTCTCTGCTGGTGGGGAGACACAGTTGTCTACCTCCCACGCCACCTGTGGCTAAAGGCATTTGGGGCACTGCACCCCCAGGCTTGACCAGTGCCTATCCTGGGAACAGGGAGACAGACAGCTTCCAAAGAATCTTCCAGAAATCCTCAGGTGCCCTTACTGCAGCCCAGGAGCAGGAGAAAGATCATGAGACTGTCTTTCATGAACTTCAAGCCAAGTGCTCCCCACTTCAAGTCCCAATGCTCCCCAGAGCTCTCCAGGGGCCTTAAAGATACCCCCCCACACACACATCCTCACTCTGAGTGCATTCTTCCAGCCTGCTCCTGCCTCCTACTCTGGCAATATTGGTTAAGATGAGCTGTGCCCACCATCCCTAGGTAATCCCTATCCTTCCTGGAAGTACCTGTTGGCTGGTAAGCAGTGTGGATAGAACTTTCCAGATCCCACTCGTCTCTATAAAATGAGTTTAGCCATGCTCTTGCCTCCTAAAAACCACTGTTGTTAATGTTTAACAAAGATTTTGCTCAAAGCAAACTGAGAGTCGGTGGCTCAGGCCTGTAATCCTAGCTGCTCAGGTAGCTGAGATCTGAGGACTGCAGTTCAAAGCCAGCCTAGGCAGGAAAGTCTGTGAAACTCTTATCTCCCATTAATCACCCAAAAAAACCAGAAGTGGAGTGTGCCTCAAGTGGTAGAACATCCAGACTTGAGTGAAAAGAACAGAAACACCCTGAGTTCAAGCCCCAGGACTGGAACAACATCAATAGCAACAACAAAGATTTTGCCCAATGTCTGGCCCACTATTAGTGTGGGGGTATTCCTGTCCACCCCCATTTGCACTGTGGACCGGCAAAGGCAGGACCAGATCTTTAGTAGTGGTATCTGGAATAAGTTCCTTGGGAAATGTGTGTTGAATGACTAAATTTTTGTTGTAGAATCACAGAAGGGAGTTAAACATGTCTCTAAATTGTCTAAAGACAATTCTTTTTTTTTTGTCGGTTGTGGGGCTTGAACTCTGGGCTTGGGTACTGTCCCTGTGCTCTTCAGCTCAAGGTGAGCGCTCTACCACTTGAGCCACAGCGTCACTTCCTAAAGACAATTCTTTACTGCTGACCAGAAACAAAACTGCGCTCTCCTCTCTCTCTCTCTCTCTCTCTCTCTCTCTCTCTCTCTCTCACACACACCCACACACACCCACACACACCCACACACACACTAGCAAAAGTGAAGGATTCATACCTTGGGGGTATATTGTTCTGGGCTCCTTCTATTCTTCTCCAGTCAATCCAAGCTCCTTACCCTGGACAGTTTAGGAGGGGAAGGACCCCCCCAAGTGTAAATCAATGCAGACCTCTCTTCGTGTCTTTCCAAAGCTGGAAGGGGGGCATGGACAAGGTCCATGGAGATGGCTGGTGGCCCCAGCCTGTCCCCACACGACCTTAAGCGCTTTGGAGGTGGCCTGAACCGCGGGAGCTGCCCGGGGAAGGGCACCTGGGTGGAGGAGGAGCCACGGGGGCGTGGTCTCCCGGGGCGTAGCCAGTGAGGGGCGTGGCCTTGCAAGGACGGGGCAACTTCCTCTTCTCACTCCAAGGCTCAGGTTACCGAAAAGCCTTTGAAAAGGCTACAGAAAACCCATCTTTTTCTTTCCTTTTCTTTTCCTTTCTTTATTTTGGTCGGTCGTGGGGCTTGAACCCTGGGCCTGAGCCCTGTCCCTCAGCTCTTCAGCTCAGCTCTTCAGCTCAAGGCAAGTGCACTACCACTTGAGCCACAGCGCCACTTCCCATTTTCTGAGTGGTTTATTGGAGATAAGAGTCTCACAGACTTTCCTGTTCCGGCTGGCTTTGAACAGCGATCCTCACATCTCAGCCTCCTGAGTAGATAGGATTACAGGCTGAGTGCCCTTCTTGTTTCTTTTGTTTTTCTTTCTTTTCTTTCTTTTTTTGTCGTGGAGCCTGAACTCTAGGTCTGGGCGCTGTCCCTGAGCTCTTCAGTTCAAGGCTAGTGCTCTACCACTTGAGCCACAATGCTACTTCTGGCTTTTTCTGCTTATGTGGTGCTGAGGAATCGAACCCAGGGCCTCATGCATTCAAGGCAAACACACTACTGCTGAGCCACCTTTCCAGCCCTTGTCTCCATCCTTTCTAAGGAGGCCTGGTTGATCTACTGGGACAGCCCTGATATTGGTGGAACGCACCTCATCTCTGACCTCGTCTCACCTGGGGGTTGGGAGGTGTTCCAGGAGGGGTGGCCCTCACCATCCCAGCATTTCCTATCTTCTCCCTCCCTCCCCTTCCTCCCTCCCTCCCTCCCTCCCTCCCTCCCTCCCTTCCTTCCTTCCTTCCCTTCTTTCTCCTGCACAGGAATTGAACCTAAGGCCTTGCACAGGCTATGCAAGTGATCTACCACCAAACCTCATCCCCCAGCTCCTAGTATTTTCTTTTTCTTTTTTCCTTTTTTGGAGTCCGGTCATGGGGCCTGAACTCTGGGCCTGGGCGCTGTTCCTCAGCTCTTCAGCTCAAGGCTAGCGCTCTACCACTTGAGCCACAGCGCCACTTCCAGCTTTTTTCTTTTTGCTTATGTGGTGCTGAGGAATTGAACCCAGGGCCTCTGGCATGCAAGGCATGCACTCTACCACTGAGCCAACTTCCCAGCCTCCCTAGTATTTTCTCATGGACCAATACTGGGACTTGAACTTAGGGCCCTGAGTACTTCTTTAGCTTTTTTGCTCAAGGCAGATGTGCTACCACAAGAGCCACACCTCCAGTTCCAGCTCTTTGGTGGTTAATTGAAGATAAGAGTCTATGGATAGGCTGGGAATTGGCTTAGTGGTAGAATGCTTGGCTAGAATGCAGGAAACCCTGGATTTGATTCCTCAGTACCACATTAACAGAAAAAGCTGGAAGTGGTGCTGTGGCTGAAGTGGTAGAGTGCTAGCCTTGAGCACAGTGAGGCTCAGGGACAGAGCCCAGGCCCTGAGTTCAAGCCTTAGGACTGGCAAAAAAAAAAGTTTTATGGAGCTGGATGTTGGTGGTTCACTCCTATAAACCTAGCTACTCAGAAGGCTGAAATCTGAGGATCATGGTTCAAAGCCACCCTCAGCAGAAAGCCTGTAAGACTCTTTATCTCCAATTAGCCACCAGAAAACCCGAAGTAATGTTATGACTTAAGTGGTAGAGTGCTAGCCTTGAGGAAAAGAGCTCAGAGACAACATCTAGGCCCTTAGTTCAAGATCCACCACTAGGAAAAAAAAAGTCTCATGGACTTTCATGCCTAGGCTGGCTTTGAATTGTGATCCTCAGAGCTCAGCCTTCTGGGTAGCTAAGATTACAGGTGTAAGTCACCAATGGCCAGCTGATTTGTTGGTTGGTTTGTTTAAAGGTCTCAGTTGTTTCACAAGAGCAAAACGGGTCAATGTTTTAAAATAAAAGCCCACAAGCAAGGCTGAGGATGTGGCTTAATGGCAGGCAGAGTACTTGACTAGTGAGTTGCAAGGCCCTGGGTTTGATCTCAGCATATACACACAAATAAATAATAATAAATGACACCAGTAGTGGCAGTGCAGGTCTGTAACTCCAGCACTTAGGAGGCTGGGGCAGGAGCATCTCATGGTAGAATAGTTGCTAAGCATGCAAGAGGCCCTGGGCTTGATTCCAGTACCACATAAGCAGAAAAAAGCCAGAAGTAGCGCTGTGGCTCAAGTGATAGTGCTGCCTTTGAACAAAAAGCTAAGGGAGTGTGTCCAGGTCCTGAGTTCAAGCCCCAGGATCAGCAAAAACAAAACAAATCCTAATTAAATAAATATTATCAGTTGGATATGTTGGTACATACATAGCTGCAATCCCAGCACTCAGAAAGCTAAGGTAGGAAGAGGGGGAGGAAGGGAGAAAGGGATTAAACATAATTAACGTTTTAATTGTACCCTTCCTGAGTTTCTTCACCCAGGCCCCAAACAGAGCAGGCACGTGAAAGTGCTTCAACCATGCTCAGTCCTTCAACAAGTCCTGCCAGGATTGTTGTAGTAGACTCTTATATTTTTGTTGGTTGTGGGGCTTGAACTCAGAGCCTGGGCACTGTCCCTGAGCCTCTGTGCTCAAGGCTAGAACTGTACCACTTGTGCCACAGTTCCAGTTCCAGATTTCAAGTGGCTAATTGGAGATAAGAGTCTTACTCCCAGGAACCTTTCTGCCTGGGCTGGCTTCAAACTGTGATTCTCAGATCTTAGCCTTCTGAGTAGCTAGTATTACAGTTGTAAGCCACCAGCGCCTGGCTTGCAGTGAACTCTTGACTTGTATCCCCAGTACCTCTGCACAGCCACAACTTACCAGACCATATATCTGCTTAGATGCCCTTGGTGGCACTTGAGCCACACCTTCAGTTCCAGCTCTTTGGTGGTTACTTGGAGATAAAGAGTCTATGGATAGGCTGGGAACGTGGCTTAGTGGTAGAATGCTTGCCTAGCATGCATGAAGCCCTGGGTTCAATTCCTCAGTACCACATAAACAGAAAAAGCCAGAAGTGGGGCTGTGGCTGAAGTGGTAGAGTGCTAGCCTTGAGCACAAAGAGGCTCAGAACAGTGCCCAGGAGTCCGAAGATAAATTTGGACTCTGGCCCCTCCCCTCCAAAGCAGCAACTCACCCCAAGGACAGAGGTGAAACTCCTAGCATCTGAGCATCTCCCAGGATGGTCAGTGCCTGTCCGTGCCTGGGTCACACACAAGCCTCTGCCTGAGAAAACCTCCCCTCCTCCTTCCTCCAGTTCAAGTGCTCCATGGAGCCATTTGTCCCTCTGATGTATTCAACAGAAGCCTTTATCTCTGGATATTTGTACTGAAACCAAAGTTAGCCCAGGGTCCTGCAGTTGATCCCCAATGTCACACACATAAAGCCAAGTGTGGCTGGTGTGGAGGTAAAAATCTAATCTCAGTGCTTGGGAGGCTAAGACATGAGGATGGTGAGTTTGAGACCAACTTGGTCTACATAATAAGGCCCTATCTCAAAAATAAATAAACTGGGTACGATGGGTGCTCATATCTGTCATCCTAGCTACACAGGGATCAAAGGATCAAAGTTCAAAGCTAGCCTGGGCAGCCAAAGCTATGAGACTTATCTCAGTTAACCAGCAAAAAGCCAGAATTGGAGGTATGGCTCAAATAGTAGAGCACCAGCCTGAGAGGAAAAGCTGTTTGGAGTTTGGAGGTGAGAGGCCCTGAGTGCAAGCACCAGTGCTGTTACAAAAAATATAGAGAGGGAGAAGGAGAGAGGGAGGAAGGGAGAGCGCATGCTCCAAGTGCCAATTACTCATTCCTGTAATGCTAGCTCCTCAGGAGGCTAAAATCTGAAGAATGCAAAGCTGGCAAGTGAAGAAAAGTCTTCCAGACTCCATCTGCAAAATAACCAGCAAAAAGCTGAGCTGGAGGTATGGCTTAAGTGGTAGAGCACCAGCCATGAACAGAAGCAAGCCAAGCAAGCCTGAGACCCTAAGCTCAAACCCTGGTACTGCCCCCAAGAAATGAAACAAAAACTGAATTCATTAAGTTTAATTTGAATCTGACTTGCAGGAATTGAGCCATATGACCTATGGAGTATTCAAGTGGTCCTTATAATTGGGCAGGGGCCACACAATCCCTTGCTTCTTAATTGCTGCCTCCTGCTGCATTAGCGTGAACTCCCTGCCATCCCAGATTGAATCCTGGCATCTTTCTGTGTCACCCCACAGACAGGTGAGAGCTATTAGCTCCCTGGCTAGGCTGTGAGCATCCCTGTATACATTTGGGGGCTGTCCTGCCCCAAATGTATACAGGAAAGGGGTGAACATTTAGGACCTATCAGGCTTCCCCTATAAACTTTACTGTGAATCCAAATCACCTTGGAGGTCTCTGAAGCCACCTAGCAGATTCTCATTGTGGGTTTGGGAGAGGGCTGAGGGCCTGCAGGTGCATGAAGTTCCCCAGGTGTGGCTGGTGATGGGCTCCACTGGGGGCCACTTGCCCCCCCCTCCACCAGCCAGAATGTAGCTAGGGGCCCAGGTGGAAGAGTGCCCCACCCCCTGCCTGCCCTGGGGTATAAGACAGCAGGCTGCTGGCTTCTTTCTCCTCTGTCTGAGCTATCCTGTCGGTACTATGGGGCTGAGCTACGGGCTCTTGCTTTGCCTCCTGCTCTGGGGAGGCACAGAGCGGTGCTGCTCCTACCCCGTCTTGCTTTCCCAGCCTGGGTCCCCTGAGCCCGTGGCGGTGGAATGTCTGGAGGCTCAGATGGTGGTGACGGTCAGCAGAGACCTTTTTGGTACAGGAAAGCTGGTGCAGCCCGCTGACCTCAGCCTGGGCCCTGAGGGCTGTCAGCCCCTGGTCTCCCTGGACAGTGAAGTGGTCAGATTCGAAGCTGGACTGCATGAATGTGGCAACAGCATACAGGTTGGGGGAGGGGTGCTTGTCTTGGGGGGACTTCCTGTTTCAGAGGGGAAG